ACCCACTAATAAGCCCTGCACCATTCCTCTAAGTTTTTAAGGTGATACTCCCCTACCCAAAAAAACTCTCTTCCAGCCAGGCCCACTGGCACATGCCTACAGTCCTGAGGCAGAAGAATGGCTTGAACTGAGAAGTTCTAGACTAGCCTGGGCAAGAGAACAAAAACCTGTCTCAAAAACTCTTGCAAAGTAAGTGTGATTCTTAGTTACTACAAACTGTAACGTGTATAATGAAAGATGAAGGCCTGTGTTTAAAAAGACAAACAGCTTCCTTTTGAATAATTAGAAAAATTAAACAAGATGTCATCCAGAAAAGAACGTTTCCATAAAAATTCAAAACACAATATACTGTATTCCCAACAAAGTTGCCAAATCACATAACAAAAACAAATGCAACAGAAAAGAAACTTGTCAGGAGGCTGAGGCAGGAAGATGGAAAGTTAGAGCCTCGCCTGGGCAACTTAGCAAGATCCTATCTCAAAGTAAATATAAAAAGGTGAAGTGGAATGGCCCTGGGTTCAATCCCTAGTAATGGGGAAAAAAAGTCAACTTTCAATCTGCTACCAATAAAATCTTTTATTTGTCACTCTTAAGGAAAACAATCTACATAAATACCTCTGCACTGACACACTGAAAGAAAAATATCCTTCAGAATTTCTCATGTACTAGTTAGAACAAGTGTTTCTACCAAGGAGAAAACTGAGCACTGTTATCTTCATATATTTCATCTAAAACTTCTATGAAATAGATGTTTTTCTATTCACTTAACAGATCCAAGTCCTCAGACTAACAGCAGTTATCTACTTAAAGAGACATACCTCATCCAGATATGGTGGCTCATGCCTGCAATCTCAGCATTCTGGGAGGCTGAGGCAGGAGGATAGGAAGTTCAAGCACAGCTTGAGCAACTCAGCAAGACCTTGTCTCATAAAAACAAAGACCCTGGGTTCAACCCCCAATACCAAGACAGAGACAGAGACAGAGACAGGGAGACCTCTTGCTCTTGGTACAGCGCAACTGCCTTTGCAATTTCTAGCCCAAGTAAAGCATCTAGTTTAAACAAATTTACAGAGCTTGGGGCTGGGGATTTAGCTCAGTGGCACAGCGCCTGCCTGGCAAGCGCAAGGTTGTGAGTTCAATTCCCGGTACCGTAGGAAAAAAAAATAAAATTTACAGAGCTAAAGTACAACCTTACTTTGCTTTTTAAAAATGCACTAATGGGGCTGGAGATTTAGCTCAGCGGCAAAGTGCCTGCCTGGCAAGCGCAAGGTCGTGAGTTCCGTTCCCAGTACCAGAGAAAAACAAAAAAAATAAAATAAAATAAAAATAAAAATGCACTAATGTAAAAATGAACAATTCAAACAATAACTTTGAAAGTCTGCCCTTTCATATGAAAGGCCTCCAATGTAACTAGACCATCCAAATGCATTAGTGGTGAGCTGCCTGGAGAAGTACTTTAATCCTTACACAAGAGCAAAGCAACAAGGGGCTGGGGATTTAGCTCAGCAGCACAGTGCCTGCCTGGCAAGTGCACGGTCGTGAGTTAGATTCCTAGTACCAGAAGAAAAAAACAAAACAAAAAAAGAGCAAAGCAATATATCCAGTGGTGGGACACTAGCTGTCCTGTGCCCAGCATTCCATGGGACTATCTTTGGCCACAGATTAAGGCCTTAACAAGTCACATCTTCCATTTTCTGTTTTTTTTTCTGGTACCGGGAATCGAACTCAAGACCTCATGCTTGCCAGGCAAGTGCTGTGCCACTGAGCTAAAACCCCAGCCCCCTCTTTCAATTTTTCAGCAAAGACTATTAGCACTCCTTTCAATACTATCATGAGTGAACCCCCCCCACTTATACCTTTCTTGTCTAAGCCACTATCATCTGTCACTAGATTTCAAGCATTTCTAAATAGATCTTCTACTTCCACTTCTGTCTCCTATAGGCTATTCCACACAAGGCAACCAAAATACAAATTACATTTCATCATTCCCATTATAAAAACCCTTCAAGCCGGGTGTTGTGGTACACGCCTATAATCCCAGCACTGGGAAGTCTGAGGCAGGAGGGTCCTCACAAGTTTGAGGCCAGCCTAAACTACACAGCAAGACCCTGTCTCAAAATAAAATAAAACCAAACAATCTTCAATGACTTACCAGTGAACTTCGTGAGCTCTAAACTGTCCACCTCTACAAGTTCTGGTTTCTGTCTCTATAACCCCTCTCCCTCTACTTTTCTTGCTTCACCTCTGGACTCTGGCCCCTCAATCCTTTTTTGGATTATAGGTGAATCGGTTCCTTACTTGTCTATGACCAATCCTTTCTGAATGAAAATCTCCAAATGAGCTGGGTATGGTGGCACATATCCATAATCCCAGCACTTGAAGCTGAAGCAGGAGGATCGCTGCAAGTTTGCCCAGCCTGGGCTGAAAAACGAGTTCAAAGCCAGCCTGAACTGCATAGAGAGACCCAAACTAAAAACAAAACAAACCCTTCACATGGACAGGGACCTTTCTTTGTTTTCTTCAGATGTGTTCCGTAAGAGCTCCTGGTAGACAGGTGCATTTGTTGAAGGAATAATGACAAACAACAAACTGGCTTTACCATTCCCCTGATCATTCCAGAAACAAGAGCACACCAAAAGCCACTACCAGCAAGGTTTCTCCCTTGCCAAGCAGCCCACCTGATCCACTGAGAACACTCGTGCCCTAACAGAGCACCTCCTCACATGCAGAGTGCACTCAAACCAAGAGCAAGCAAAGGCAGCCGAACGGCACCAGCACAGGACACTTAACGTTGTCAATCAAACTGAACTGTAAGCCAGGTGTTGTGCCACACTCCCATGAGCTTTACATGGAGGGCTCAGGCAGGAGGGTCCCTAAGTTCAACGGTAACCTGGGCTACAGAGTGAGACCCTATCTCAAAAAGCCGAAAGACAGCCAGGCTTGGTAGTTCATGCCTGTAATTCCAGCACTCTGAGGCAGAGGCAGAAGCATCACAAATTCAAGTCAAACCTGGACAACTCAGTAATTTCATGATCCCATCTCAAAGAAAAAGGGGGCACACCTATAATCATAGCAACCCAGGGGGCTGAGACAAGTTCAAGGTCAGCCTGGGGAACTCAGGCTGTCTGAAAAAGCAAAAGTGTGGGGTTGTATTTCAGTTGTACAGCACTTATCTAGTATGTACAAGGCCCTGGGTTCAATCCTCAGTACTGTAAAATCAAAAATAAAAGCTGGGTGTGGTGGCACACACCTGTAATCCCAGCACTCGGGAGGCTGAGGCAGGAGGATCACCCATGAGATCAAGGCCAGCCTAGGCAACACAGTTAGTTCAAGGCCAGGCTTAAGTACATAGCAAGACCCTGTCCCGCCCCCCCCCGCCCCACCTAAAAAAAAGTAAATAAATAAGAAAAAAAAGAAGGTATAACACAGATTGAACTCCATATGCTAAGCAAGCACTCTATCACTGAACTCTACTAGCTGTATTACTGTACTTAAAATGTATCCACCTTGTTGCAGAGCTTGACAATTTATGCCTATAATCCCAGCATTTAGGAGGCTGAAGCAGGATTGCCAATTCAATGCCAGCCTGGCCTACACAGTCCTGGGCCAGCCTGTACTACTTAGCAAGATCCTGACTCAAAAAAAACCAAAAACACCACAACAACAAAACCCCAAAAAACTATGAAGAGGCCTGTAAGTATACTCAGTGGTAGAGTACTGCCTACCATGTGCAAGGTCCTGGGTTCCATTCCCAACACAGCAAAAAGAAATATACTGGGGCTAGGATCTAGCTCAGTGGCTCAAATGCCTGCCTCGCAAGTGCAAGGTCCTAAGTTTGATTCCCGGCACACAAAAAAAAATTTTAAATATCTGAAGAGTACTTGCATAGACCTCCCAAGCCAGCATCATTGCTAACTTCTTTAATTAAGACCCCTGACCCTAATTCTCTATTGGTAATTAACCATATCTATAGCAAATAGTGAACTGTTGGCCAGGCATGGTGGTATACACCTGTAATGTCAGCACTCAGATAAGGCAGGAGGATTGCTCTGAGTTTGAGGCCAGCCTGGGCTACACAAGCAAGTTCAAGGACAGCCTGCACTACCTAGTGAGACCCTGTCTCAAAAAACAAAGAAATAAAAACAAATCTCCTTTATTAAATCATGCACAGGTACAAATTCTCTATGATGAATGTGATCATTATGTGTATCTAAAACATACCAATATAATCTGATTGGAGAGAAAAAAAAACAACAACTCCATTAAGGGCCAGGCATGGTAGCACATGCCCAAATGCCAGCCCTTTTGGGAGGCTGAGGCAGGAAGACTTCAAGGAGCGCCAGCGTTACATAGTGAATTCAAGACCAGCCTAGAGGCTGGGTGTGGTGGCATTTGTAATCCCAGCACTCAGAAGGCTGGGACAAGTGAAGGCCAGTCTGCACTACATGGTGAGACTCTTGTCCTCCCCCACCCCCCAAAAAAAAGCCCAGTACCACAGCCAGGTGTGGTGGTGTACACTGTAATCTTAGCACTTAAGAGGTAGGAGGACCCCTGTGAATCTGTGGCCAACCTGGGTTACTCAGTGAGTTCAAGAGCAGCCCAAATTACATGGAGAAACTGTCTCAAGAAAAACAAAACTGCTGGGCATTGTGGTGCATGCCTGTAATCCCAGCACTCAGGAGGCTGAGGCAGGGGTGATCGCTGTGAGTTCGAGGCCAGCCTGGACTACAAAGTGAGCTCAAGGCCAGCCTGAACTGCACAGTGAGACCCTGTCTCAAAAAGACAAAAAACAAAAACGAAATCAAAGAAAGTAACAAAAAAATAAAAACCAGTAACAAAAAGCCTAGCACCAAAACAAGAAAAATTTTAAAAACCTTCATGATCAGTGGACAAGTAAGTCATTAGTGGTTATAACGAGCTAGTATTTCCCCAGAATATATATAACTAGTATCTCTTCCACAGGGTAAGGAAAATGCAAAAGAAAACTTCTATTTACATACCTTACAAATGTACTGCAAAACGCACAGCCTGTGTAGCAAACTTGTACAAAGTACCTTGAACTTCTCAGATGAAAGGCTATAAAGACATAAGAAAAATAAAAAATTATATCTATTCCCTTCACAAGGAAAAAACAAAAGACAGGCTGTAAATAAACAGGCTTACCTAAAGAATTCAGAGAGAGGAAAAAGTACAGTATTTTTTTCCCCATTACTAAAGATTGAAACCAGGGTCTCAAGAATGCTAGACAGCCAGGAATGGTGGCACATGTCTGTAATCCCAGCATTCAGGAGGCTCAGGTGGGAGGCTGAGGCAGGAGGATCGCTGCATGTTTGAGACCAGCCTGGGCTACAAAGTGAGCTCAAGGCCAGCCTGAACTGCATAGCAAGACCCTCCCAAAAAGACAAAGAAAAATGCTAGACAAGCCCAGGTGTGGGGTACACGCCTGTAACCCCAACATTTGGGAGGCTAATGCAGGAAGAACACAGTGCTCACCATGGTGGTATGTGTCTGTAACCCTAGCACATGGGAAGCTAAAGCCGGACTACTGAGTGTGAAGCCATCCTGGGCTACAAATGAGATCCTCTCTCAAAAAACAAAGCCGGGCGTGGTGGCACATGCCTATAATCACAGCACTCAGGAGGCTGAGGCAGGAGGATCACTGAGAGTTCAAGACCAGCCTGAGCTACACAGTGAGCTCAAGGTCAGCCTAAACTGCACAGTGAGACCCTGTCTCAAAAAGACCAAAAAAAACCAAAAAAACAAAAAACACAACCCTCAAAAATCAGAATGCTAGGCAAGAACTCTATCCCAGAACTGCATCTCCAAAAATTCATTCCTTTTTTGGAGGCTAAATTGCCCAGGCTGACCTTGAACTTAGCATCCCCCTTGCCTCAGCCTCTTGAGTAGTCAACATTACAGATACATGTGAAACCATCTCCAGCCACTATTTAACATTTTTTTCACTATTTAATTTTTTTTTTTTTTTTTTTTTTTTGTCTTTTTGAGACAGGGTCTCGCTATGCAGTTCAGGGCAGCTGTGAGCTCACTTTGCAGCCCAGGCTGGTCTTGAACTCCAAATGATCCTCCTGCCTCAGCCTCCCAAGTGATACTATTTAACTTTTAATTGACATACCATGAAGTTTATCACATTGGCACCCTTACATAATCAATTTTACCTTCCAAATATCACCAATATCCTTGCATGACTGAATGTTGCCCTTTTTAAAAAAATTATTAAAAAATAAATGAGCAGGACATGATAGCACAACCTATAATCCTAGTTACTGAGGCTGAGGCAGAAAGATCTCAAGTTCAAGCCCAGCTAGGACAACTTAATGAGACCTTATCTCAAAAGAAAGGAAAACAAAAAAAGCCAGGTGTGTTGGCAAATACCTATAACCCCAGCACCTGCAAAGCTGAGGCAGGAGGGCTGCAAAGGCAACTCCTGGGCAATTTAGTGAGCTCTGTTTCAAAATAAAACTAAAAAAATAAAAAGGATTACAAATCAGGGGAAAAAAAAAAAAAAAAAAAGGCTGAGGCAAGGTAGCACATGCCTATAATACCAACACTCAGGAGGCCAAGGCAGAAGGATCACTGAGAATCCCAGGCAAGCCTGGGATATATAGTAGTGCTAGGATCGCCTGAACTACACAGTAAAGGCCCTGTCTACAAATAAATTAATAAGTAAACAAATAGCCAGCTTGGATTACAGCTCAGTGTGAAGGCCCTGAGTTCCAACCCTAGCACCACAAAAGATTAAACTAATTAATTTTAAAAATTAGGGGATGTAGCTCAATGCTAAGGGACTAGGAGTCAATCCCAGTATAGAAGGGAGGGGCGCAAGTAAATTCTACATATGTTAATTATCACCACTGTTTTATTATAAAGATTTCTATATGGCAAGGTGGTGCATGCCTATAATCCCAGAGGCAGGAGGATTGCCACAGGTTCAAGGTCAGCCCAAGCTACACAAGACCCTGTCTCAAGAAAAAAAACAAAAAAGTTTGAGATTACAGTCATATGGCCCTGTGCCTAGCTTGTACTTTTTTTTTTTTTGTCTTTTTGAGACAGGGTCTCACTATGCAGTTCAGGTTGGCCTTGAGCTCACTTTGTAGCCCAGGCTGGTCTCGAACTCGCAACGATCCTCCTGCCTCAGCCTCCCAATTACAGGCGTGCACCACCACGCCCAGCTAGTCTATACTTTAAAATAAATAAATCAGTTCATGTCACTCTCTTCCTAGAAAGAAACCTAATGACCTCTCATCTCAAAACAGAACCAATGAGCCAGGTGCAGTGACGTACACCTGTAATCCCAGCATGCGGAAGGCTGGAGCACGATTACCAACTCAAGCAAGGGCGGCCTGGATGGTGCAGGGAGACTGACTGTCTCAGCACCCCTATGCCTCCACCACCTGCCCCAGGCTGGGCATGATGGCGTACACCTATAATCCCAGCTCAATTATGATAAATTCAGCCCTACTTGGGCAATTTATTCACTTATTGAGACTTTGTCTCAAAATTTTAAAGGGCGGGGGATGTAGCTCAATGTCTTTACTAAGTACTGAGTTCAATCCCCAGTACTGGGGGGCGGGGAGCAGTAGTAAAGCAGCAGCAGCAGCAGCAGCCAGTACTGCTGCCTGAGGCAAACCCAAGTAATGTCGGATGTCCTTAACACACTACAGGATCTGCCCGCCCCCACTTCCCTAAACTTTTACCTCCCACCCTTTCATGCCACTCCAAACTTGTCTCACAGACTACAGTACTACTGTACTTATGTTCTCGTTTCCTGTGAGTTTCAGATACCATCATAAATATATTTAAACATACAGTTTACCCACCCTCATAAAAAATCAAGCTCAGTTTGGTATAAACTGCATACTAGTTGCGATATAACAGTGTATTTATTTTTATTATTTACTATGAAAACGCATTTAAAATTCATTTCAGCCTGCACCAGTAAATAGAGACCAACACCCACAAGGAGAAATTTTCAATCACATGACTATCATAATTATGAGTGTACAGGCCGGCATTTAATACTACAGCACCACAGATTACAAATGAGTCACTTGAAATGGAAACTTTTTTTTTTTTTGGAGACAGGGTCTCTTTGTGGCCCTGGCTGGGCTCGAACTTTCAGTGATCCGCCTGCCACCTAAATGTTGGGATTACAGGCCTGTGCCACCACACCCAGTTTGAAATAGAAACATCTGAAATAGGGATTTTACAGTAATTACTAACTTCAAAATGTCTTAGAAATTTAATTTATTAGTGTCACAAATACTTAACAGTGAATCTGTTCCAACAGAACAAAATATGTGAGACATATATCCCTAACCATTAACTAGTTTAAAACATAGTTAGTCATAAAGGTGGGGATGAGCTGGGGCATAGTGGCACACACCTGTAATCCCAGCACTCAGGAAGCTGAGGCAGGAGGATTGCTGCAAGGTCAAGGCCAGCCTGAACTACATAGCAAGACCCTGTCTAAAAAAAAGAAGTGGGATGTAGCTCAGTGGTAGAGCAGGTACCCTGCATAAATTCAATAGTTATATTTACATGCAGGCACATGAAACCTGAATTCTACTGAACAGATACTTATGGGGGGGGCACAAAACACTTCCGTACTTTCATTTTCTTTTTTATTTTTGGTAGAACTGAGGATTGAACCTAGAGTGCTCTACCACTGAGCTATACCGTAGCCCCTTTTATTCTGATCTACTGGTGTTTACTCTCCTAATGAGTTATACCGCATATGACGAGGACAAACTTCAAAGGAATGAACAGCAAACAACATGTGCACTACCACACACATGTGCACAGGCCACTCTTTACATGACACAGGCAGTCTCCCACTCATTTCAACCTAAATCAAGTCAAAAGGGCCCACACAGGTGCCTCAAAACATTCTCAACAAACCTAAATACACTGCCCGTGGCGCAGGGACTCTGGGCCTCCCCATGGGTCAGGACGGTCTCTCACAAAGATCCAAATACTTGAAGCCAGGACTAGGCCAGCAAGGCCAGCACATTCTCTCTCTCCCCCAAATGACTACAGCAGGACTGTGCAGCCACAGAAAGAGGTGTGCCGTGAGAGCTAAAGAAGTGAAATTCGTTCAGCAAGTAGATTCCTCACACTCTCTCAACCTATGCACAATGGGCAAGATATAAAAGGGGAGAACACTAGATAAACAGAATGTCTGAACTTTAGCTGACTCTAAGCCCGCTGTTGGGGACTACATGAAGAACACTTTACAGAAAGTAGTTCTGGTCTCCTCTGGACTGCACATACACTCCTGGGAAATTTGTTGAAGTCTCTGGAACTCAGTCACATACCTGCAAATGGAGTTGGTCTCTAAGTCCTAAAGATTTCTTTTAGAACTTAAATTCTAGGTTTTCGAAGAAATCAGTTGATAGCCTTATTCATATTGTCTTTTTCCTTCCAAGAAAGATTTTCACTTAAATGGAAACTTGAAACCTAGCTCTTTGACTCAAAGGAAGTTCCAGGGCTGGAGGTTCATAGCCCAGTGGTAGAGACGTTCTGAGAGCCAGCCTTTGGGTTCCCCACCTTTTGCACCGTTTACTACACAAGCAATATCGTGATAACTTACAAAAAAAAAAAGACTCTTCAATAAATCATTCTTTACAATGAAGAACTAGTCGTGGGCCAGGCCTAGTGGTACAAGCCTGTAATCCCAGCTTCTCAAGAGGCTGAGCCAGGAGGACGGTGAGCTCCAGGCAAGCACAGGCAAATTAGCAAGGCCCTGTCTTGAAAAATATAATAGTCCTGCATTTTCAGTTCAATTAATGCTACTTCTGTCAAGTGCTCAAAACAGTACCTCATCTCCAATCTAGCCACATTGGAAGTGACAAGAACCTACCATGGTTCACACTGAACACTGGCGAGTAACACTAAAAGGTTGGAAAATTCTCACCACATATATTATCTTATAATTTTGTTTGTTTTTGTACTTTTCTTCTTCAGATCCGGCAGAAAATATAATCTGACTACATACCTCCAAAAAACGTTTATTTCAAAGGACTAAAAACAACAAAAAACACAAATCGGAAGAGTTAAAAATGTTTAAATGAGGGCTACTAAAAAGGCACAAGTGGCCGGGCCTGGTGGCGCACGTCTGTGATCCCAGCATTCGGGAGGCTGAGGCAGGAGGATCACTGCCCAAGCCAGGGCCACAAAGTGAGTTCAAGGCCAGCCACCGCCAGTGAAACCCTATCTCTAAAAGATCCCTCCACCCCTCAAAAAACACAAATGGAACCAACTCTGGGGCAGAAAAGATACCAATTTTCCGCTATAAAGTACTAAACATTTTTTCAAAAAACTGAAACAATTTGAGTGCAAATAATGCAACTTCATGAAGGCGACCTGTAACTTTCACGAAGACAATTAGCAGAGAAGGATAGATGTTTAAGCGATCCCTAATTAAGGACTAAATAGAACTGCAACTATTTACACAGAACACCAAGTCATGAAAAAATGTTTTTTCAACTGGAAAGCTACCTCCACCCAACAGGGTTCTAACCCTAAAAATTGCAACACAATCTTTTACTTACACAACCTCCAAGAACAGTGCCGCAAAAAAAGGAAATCTACCCAAAGCATAACTATCTTCAACCTGTACGAGACGGCAATCCGCGTTCCACCCAAACGCAAAAGGCAAAATGGAGTTGTGCAGAGTTTCGCCCCGTCCCCGGTCGGACAGCGCGCGCGCCAGCGGAGGCCCGGAGCCCCCGCCCCGCCGGCGCGGCCGAGGG